CACCGGCCATTTTTTAGTTGCAGCCATCATTGTTGTTTGGTGGGCCCGGGCTGGGGATTCGAACCCGCCACCTTAGGTGTATGTGGCTGGCACCTTAGCCGATTGAGCCACAGGCGCCGAGCCTGTTCTGTTAGTTTTAAGGTGAGGAAACTGGTAAGAAGGGAGAACTGGAATTTTCTGGCATCTACTGGATATGGAAATGTCAGTGGGACCTTCTCATCTCTAATGTTTATAAGCTCTTATTATACATCTCTCTAGGGTGGCCAGGCCTGTAATTGGGTTTATTTGTATGCTCAGAACACTAAATTTGGGGTGCCCTGGGCTGGAGGCACCAACTGCAAGGTTTGTGCTGGTCATTTTGGCTGTGAGCTCATGTGTCTTACCCCCCTGCAGACTCACTATGCCGTCCAGGACACCAAGGGCTTCCACACCGAGGAGGACATCGGCCAGCTCCATGCCACCATCGAGTGCGAGCAGCCACAGCCCGACCTCTACAAGTAAGCAAGTCTTAGCCCTCGGCCACCACCCTCACACCCTGAGTGCACTGGTGCCTCTCCTAGAATAGGGCTATTTGCACAGAAAGTGTAAATCACCGATTAAAAAGTGAGACTGAGTCTAAAATATGTTACTTTTCACAGATGAGCGCCATTCAAATCTGTAGCTAATTTAATGCAGCCATTTCAAGTGGCTTCAGGGAACAAAATTTATTGAAAAAAAGTAAAATGGGCAGCACCTGTGGCTCAAAAGGGTAGGGCGCTGGCCCCATATGCCAGAAGTGGCAGGTTCAAACCCAGCCCCAGCCAAAAAAGAAAAAAAATAAAGTATTCTCAATTTCGAGGCAGCCATTTTCAGACTGGGTTAAGGGCTGCTGAGCAGAAAGCAAGGCAGGAATGCCAGGAGCAGAGTGGGCTGGCACGTCTACACATGGCAGCTTCCACACCCAGGACCACAGCTCACCATCCCAGCTTCCTCCCTGGGCCAGGTGGGTGAGTGGAACAGACACAGGGAGCCGTGTGCTTTGGGTCCATGGGCACCACAATTAGTAACTTGACTTTTTCATTGCCAGGTTTGCTGGTCGTATAAATGTTTACAGCGATCTGAATGACCCCATGGTGAGGTGAGTGTTTCTTGCCAACACTTTGGCCATTTTCATCTTTATTCTTACATTAGAAGTTCATTCCTTTATTGATGAGAGTCTCCCAGCCTTGCTGCTGCTGCTTTGCAAGTAGAACTGTGCTCTGCAGAAGGACCAGGATCTACTCTCTGGTATCGTTTCTCTTGGACACAATGATACTGGACCATCAAGCAGCCCAGGAAGCTTCAGGACCCTAGGCAGTGGCTCCAGGGTGGGGAGGATGCGGCTTTCCCATGAGGAGTGCCCAGTGTGTCTTCACAGGGAAGCTGACAGACTTCAGACATGAAGGTCATTTTCTTGGAAAGTATCAATTTGCTCATGATCATTCCTGAGATGAATGATAGGGAGATGCTGACATCCTGGGAGGTGGGACCCTATTGTTGAGGTTGAGTCTGTGACGGGGCCACTCACAGCATAGCGGTCTCTCCAGCCATGTTCCTGCAGACTCAGCAGCAACCCGTGGGGCATGTCCTAGGAGAGAGTGCCCCCCACACACACACCTCTCCTGGAGGCCTGAGATGGCCACCCTGAGACCCAGCCTTGCTGTAGAGACCGGCGCTTACTCCTGGGACTAGGGGCTTTTATATGACACTGTTTCAAGGTCCACCCACTGTTGACAATGAGGTATTTGAATTTGGCTTTCGGGAGGTTTTGAAGCTGCTGCTTTTCCATAGGGAAGTAATTTTTCTTCTGATTTAAGCAGTCTCCAAGTTGCAGATATACTGTTATGGCATTGCATATTAAAGAAAATATTTTCCCAGAAGTGAAAACAAACTCACTGGGAAATTACTGCAAAATAAATCCTGAAATGTAAGTCCTGGTTCTTGTCCCCTGGAGAGGCCCCTGGTGTTCCTGTCATGGGGAGGACATCCGTGCACTTCTTAGCCTGTCTGGGTTATTGTTAACCTCCACTGGCTGGTGGGCACTTTTCAGGGTTGGTGGAGGCCTTGCCATATTTTTCCTAAGTATATTTTATTCTAAAAAATTCCTAGTTTTTTCCTAGTTTGAGTGAATAGAATTAGGTTTACTCACGCCTGTGGGTTTTATGCAAAATCGTGAAGATTGGGGGCTTTTCATGCTGTGTTTAGGTGAGTTCTGCCACTGAGTCTGGTCACACTTTGTGTGTTTGTACTCTTGAGTAGGCTTTTAATATTGGAGTTTTTAAAGATGCTTGTGAATTTGTGGTGTGACTGTTATGAATTATACTTCAGATTCTTGGATTAGTCATGATGATATCCATTCACCCTGTCTAAACTAGAAGCAGAATCTCTCAAGTGAATTATTCTTAGACTTCCTTTTAAAAGGGCTTTTGCTTTCATAAACACATATGACGTGTTAGCTTTGCAAACAGAAGCTAGTAGTCCCTTAACACTGCAGATTGGTCTGCAGCCCAGGGATCTCTGTCTGCAGTGACAGTCAGGCAGCACAGGGAGCAACCCTGAGTCCAGCAGGCAGCTGCCGTCCAAGGCCATGCTCTTGGCCCCACCAGCCTTCAGATGGGTATAGTTCTGAGCTGTATCCGCCAAATACACTGAATGCACTTTAAAGTTAGAATATTCAGCAGATTCTCAACTTTGCCCAGCAGAAAGATCTATAATTAATATACTATATTTAGCACACTAATAAATTAAAAACAAACATCAGCAGATCCTTCTAGTCCATCCTCTTCACCCACCATAGAGACTGTGAGGACGTTGTCAGTGGCGACATCTTCAGATTTGCAATTTGCTGCTTGTTTCTCTGTTGCTCCTTTGGAAACGAGGAAAGGTCATTTTCCATCCGCCCGGGAACCACAGAGATGCGAGGTCCTCGTGGCAGAGACACGCCTTTGTGCTCACTGTTCCATGGGGACAGTCACGACCACGGCAGCTGGGCACAACTATACACAGACCCCCTGCAGCTTGGCTGCTTGCTGCTTAGGGCCCCATTGTTGTCCTGGCTTCGTCTTTAGAAATGTCACCATGTGAAATGAGACCCCTGAGTCTCACTGGGGATGGGACAGAAGTGCATGCCCTACCCTCAGCATTTCCGGAACCTTCTGGGACCCTCTAGCACAGCTGCCCTCAGACTGGAGCATATTGGATGAGGGTTGCCCAGGGTGGGTCCCAGGGTTCTGACTCAGGCCTGACAGCTCCTCACTGTGGTCTTTCAGGGGTGCTGGGTGCTGCAGGACAGGCCAAGACCCTGCATCCACAGGCCCCCAAGGGGCACAGACAGATCCCCACAGGGCATTGTGCTGGTTCCACAGATGGATGCTGCACACTTCCCCAGTGACCTGGGCCGACCTCAGTATCCCAGATGTGTGAGATCTGGGGAGCAGGCGTGTTGCTTTCCTGGCCCTGCCCTGCCGCCCACTGTCTGCTTCGTGCTGGTGCCTCATCTTCCTCCTCTTTACAGGCCATTAGGATCAGAGAACCTGCTTCTGAGAGGAGCCACACTCAAGAACACCGAGAAAATCTTTGGTAAATACTTAGTAAATTAAAAACAAACAAAATACTCAGTAAATTGTTAAAAACAGCTTCTAAAATTAAGGATTATGTAGGGGAAGCTGAAGCCCACAGCACTGTCCTGAGAGCGTTTCTTCATGCTTTGAGGTGATGTAGCAGAGACAACTTCGCCTCACTGAAATTTAGACCAGTGTTAAGGGGTGACCTGAGCCCTAAGCAGTGGCCTCGGAGAATCCAGCAGCTGGCCTCGAAATACATCCAGTGTATTAAGTGCTATAGTTTTTGACTCAAAAACGTAAGATTGTATCCATAAAAGAATTCACAGAATATATTTTTGCAAGAAATTTCTTGTAATATGCGCCTTTCTTTGGTAGTGTCTCCCGCTTCTTCCTGTGTTTTAATTCAATGAGAAAACCGTTTAAAATAAACGAGCGTGGCCTACTGTCGGAAAACCCAACAGAGTTGTCCCGAGTATCTGTGGGGTGTTGGTTTCAACCAGGAATGCCCGAGTCCCTGCTAGGAAATGGTGCATTGGTTGTATGTACTCTGTACACTTCCTCCCATACACCCTAAATTATCTTTATCCTATAATCCCCAATGCAATGTAAATAATTGTTTGGCTGTGTTGTTTTAATTTATATTATGTTTATGACCATATTATTATTTTATCGGAGTGTTATTTTATTTAATGGAATATTTTCCATACCCAGTTGGTGGACCCCCCCAACTGTGGAGGGTCCGCGGTATGTTAAAATATGAACTTTATAAAAAACAGAGTACAGGCCGCTCTGTAAACTTGAAAAAGTCTTTGTTTTGAAGACACCATTTTGTGGCTCTGGACAGCCAGCTTGCCTGCCTTTTACCCCAGAACCACTTTGGCCATAACTGTGTGTAAGGTACTAAAAAGGCCCTTGGTCACTGTCACCACACTCTTCCTATCTGCAGGCGTTGCTATCTACACGGGCATGGAGACGAAGATGGCACTAAATTATCAGTCCAAATCCCAGAAGCGATCCGCTGTGGAAAAGTAAGGCTTTGCCCCACCACGTGGTAAAAGTGTGCCAGTTAAAGCACCATCAGCTGCTGAGTGTCAGAGGTTTCAGAAGTAGAGGCTGCAAAGCGAAACCTTCACAAGATCTGCTAAGACCTGGGTTAAGGACCAGCCTGCTCCTCTGCTGGGGCCTTCCTCCCAAAGCAGTGCTCCCTCCCCTCCCCTCCCCCCTTCCCCTCCCCTCCCTTCCAGAGCAGTGCTCCCT